TGGCTTCGCTCCCCACGCTCAGCCTGAGAGGCATTCCGGGGACTGAGGCTCTCTGAGTCGGCTTCCAGGGAATCTTTGGAAATCAGAGGTAAGTCTTCTTTCTGAAAAGGCGGTTCTGTGGCCTGGACCTTTAGGCTGGCACGATGCACAGGAGACTGAATAGAGAGCCTGGGAATCAGTTTACCGTGACTCATCCTGAAAAAATACAAAAATTACCAGGAAACTCTTGTTGACAGGCGCAGTACAAGTTGTGGCCAAATGTTTCCAGCTGTGGTTCACAAGAGCGTTACCTAAAATAATTAAGTTTCTGTTACTCTGTGGCTACTAAAGTCTCTGTAATTCCCACATTAATAAAACTGTAAACGAGGACCGGAGCTGTGTGACATGGCCCGAGGCTTCGGGGTGCACCCGTGCGCGAGGAAGGTCTGTTGGAGACATTTCTCTCTCCAGGAGCATGTCTGAGGAAGAGGGCTACCCAGCGAGGGTCAAGGGCAGCTCAGGGCCTGGGCAGGCCACGCGGTAACGTGGACAGGACTTTGGTGCCTTATTTCAATACCCAGGGCGCGGATACGAACGTGCCCTGTCCCGTTGTACTCATGGAGAGAGAAACAGGCCCGGGCTGCCGTGTGCACAGGAAGGGAGGGGGGTGTTTCTACAGTCCCAACTGCCGGGAGGGAGGGAAGGAAGCTGGGGGGCCCTGGCCCACGCTGGCGCCCTCATTAGAAGACCTGCTGATACACAGGCTGCTGCTGAGAGGCAGGTGTAACTAGGGGAGGTCAGTCATGGGATCAACCTCAGCGACTTCATTAGAAAAACGATTCAAACTGTTCACCAGAAGTGTGGCAGCTGTGAATGCTGAGCAGGGCAGCCTGAGGCCGCCCTGGGCGTGCTGGGGGACGGGCCTGGATGGCGTCAGAGTGTCATTCCCCGTGCACCCCTGTCTCATGGGCCGTTAGACCCTGAGACGCTCTGGGAAGGTGCTTTGAGTTCACAGCAGACTGAAGGAGCGGGTTTGGAGTGGGCTGCCTGTCATCTCCACCTCGCACTTCGAGCTCACTGCCTGAGGCCACATGGGTCCTGTGGGTCAGGTAACAGGACCTTGGGCGTCAGGGAGCAGCTAAAGTTGTTTAAGGGCTGCTCTTGGTTTTGGCAGATCCTAATTTTAATTTAAACTCATGACCTTTTCCCTAGCGCTGCTTATGTTGATTTGTTGCTAAGGAACCTCATCTATTCCGTGGAGGAAAGCACCTAACAAAACAGACCAGGTCACATATTCACATGTGATTGTCTCACTGCAGACTGTTTGCTGTACTGAGTTTCTTTTTTTTAAAATACATCTATTTCATTCCACTGTGTTATTTTAACACTGGTGAGCTGACTAACTGTTGCTTTTTGGGGTATTTTTACAAAGCAGCGAAAGCTTCCAGAAACTGGAAGCTCTAAAACACCAGTGTTACTCTAAGACTTCAAGTCACTGTACTTGGGATCTTAAAGAAAAAGCTTAAAATAATCACTACATTTCAATCTGGAAATGCTCCTTCATGAAATTATTCTCTCCACTTTCCCTTCTTTTCTTAAATGAGATAGAATTAGGGTCTCTTTGGAGTGGAATCAATAAAAAAATGTCCCATAGAAGAACAGTCCTTTTGTTGGATGGATTAGTGAAGTTTTGGGAGGGCGTGAAGGGAGGGCCAAGCCAGAAGGCGGCTGCGGAAGGTCCTCGCCCAGCTCGGGGCTGGTGGGGGCTGGCGGGAGGGGCGGGCACCGTAAGGGTTTCCCACCCCGTGTCTGACCCGAAGGCGGACAAGCGGAGCCACTGATGCCCCGCAGATCCTGGGCCCCTGGGCACCGCCAGCTCCCGGACCCC